CGTAACAATATATATATATATTGGAGATAGTTGATGTAGATCTGTAGGGTCTTCCCAGTGGCTCATTGTTAAACTTGAAGGCTTAAAATGCAAAAATTTTTGGTTTGATCCTTACGACAGTATCTTGATGTGTATGTATATATAGCTTATTGCTAAAATTCTGGGTTCAGTCCTTGTGCAGCTTTTCTCTAACTGAGGGCTGTCGGCTCCAAGTACTAATACTTCATCTGGAAAGAAACATTTTAAATAATATGAATACAGTAAATTTTGATATTTTGATACAGTAAATTTTGATATTTCATAAAATATTGATGATCACTCTGTGATTTTTGATATATAATAGTTCAAGAGTACAAAAATATATAGACATAGAAAATAATTCAAATGAAAGTTATAACTTCATTGATGTCTGGAAGGACATTTATTTTTCTGTATATGCCTTACACTTGAATACACACTTATAGTTTTCATGATTTTAATTAATTATTCATAGTAATCATTTACCAGAAGTTAATTGCCAATAATAGAAACCAGGTTTTTAGAAATGGAAATTTTCTCCGAGTTCATAAACAATGAATGTAGTTATGCATACTGTTAATTTAGAAGGAACTGTTCACTGTCTATCCAGTTAATATATTTAAACTTACCTAACTGATGCATAAATTTAAAAACATTCTTGCAATTCCCACTAGTATTTTGATCCTAATCATGATTTCCTAGAGTATTGCCAAACAAAGAACAAACTTGATAATGATACACACATTAAACATACACCATTGAACATGTTTATTATAAACTCTAATATCTTCTTTAATAATTTTCTGGCAGATTAATACAATCCTACTACTAAAGTAAATCTCCATAGCTGCTCCTCAACACATTGTTTGATTACGTGCCTTGCATATGTTGACAATAAGCATAACAACCCATTCTATGCAGAGGTGTAGTAGGGTAGGAACGTTTGAGGATGGCGTACCTTTAATTTTTTTTTAGCCAGAATACTTTACTGTCACTGTTTTGGATGAATCCCACCTTACACAGTTAAACGCATTACAGTACTTCTTTATTTAGCACTACTCCACTGATCCTGTGTATGGGGTTTCCTAATTATTTTGTGGTGCTCTGTATAAGAACCTTAAATTTGGTTTATACAGGAAAAAAAGGGACCATGATGTCATTACAGTGGTCCTTTTAGTAGGATATTACATACCTGTATTAACTTAGAAAATTGTACTTTGGATTTGTTGTGTAACGTGTGGGAGTGGTTACCCAAAACGTGTACTCGTTGCATTCTATGTGTTAATTACAAGGTAAACAATGGGCAAATTAAGGATTATTTCATCGTAATTAGCTATAATACAATTGGCTGTTTTTACTAAATCATTAAACATTATTACATTTGGGAACCTAAGGTGAAGTTTTGTTTATATAGCTCAGTTTGTAATAAAATATCTTTGCATTTTTATATACATGCACATATTATTTTCTACATATTCAAACTCTATACTACTATAGCAAAACTCAGAAAATATGCACCCGTGACTTTATTCAAGTCTCAAAAATAATATTTAGACCATGGCATTTCTTTAGGATGCTATATTATGGGAATATTTGATATTTAAAAGTTTAATAGAGAGAAAACTAGAGACAATTTAAAAGCCTTAAAAAACAACATGTACTCTGTATACAAAATCTTTAATAGCTGACATCATAAAAAAATGTAATTTCAAATTATACTGAAACATTCTACATATGACATATTCACATGTGTGTATGCTTATCATATTAACATTCATCTGGTTGTACTTTTACCATGACAAACCTCCATTCCTTGTAATCTTGGCACTGTTTTGTATAGGCATTCAACAAGACATCATCAAATTCATAAATGCGATAAAAACCATAGCCATTTTTTAACAAGTGGATCTCTCTTCAGCTTATAAAAATGGGCCCACATGCTGAAAGTGCTAGGCTTTTATGAGGTTTTAAATTAGATTTAAACCATTTTTTTTTTATTGTCATGGATAAGAAATTATTATTGTGAATCAATATAGTATTAAATTATTTTTTATGTATTTGTGTAGAGTAAATCATTTTATATTAGTCGTTTATGTTGGCTGATTCTGTCTGATCTCTTCAATTGATGTATACATACACACACACACACACTGTATTTTGTAGTTATCAAGACCAAACTGACATATTAAAAAAAAATAGTTGAAGTGTATGTACTAAACATAAATGTCTCCACCTAATAAAATGAAATTGTATTTTTAGTGTATATTAAAGTATCATTTATACATGTTTAATATACACTGTTACCTTATGGTTTAGTGTTGGGTTGCATATCAGAAGGTTCAAGATTGAGCCATGATGTTCTGCTAACTTTCCCTGGTCTATCAAACTGTGTAGACATTATAACTGTGAAAGTCAGTTCTGTTATTTAGTTAACAGTACTTACATAGGTGGTGGGTGCTGCTGACTGATTGCTCTCCCTCTGGTCAGTAGCTCTAAACATCTGAGCTTTTAGAAGTCTTAGACTGTGTTCTTTAATCAAGGTGTTGTATTATATGCCATTGATTTTGAAAATACCACTGCCAACAATACTTTGTTCCATTTAAAAGTTGGAGCTGAATAAATTTAGAATTATACAAGTGGTAAGATGTAATATGTTTTTTCAGTATTTTTGGATGATGCTCTAAGTTTGCTATAGATAGAACATGATGACTTGAATTTATTGATTTGAGTATTTTAAGTTTGTATAATCTAGTTGAAATGTTTGAAACTTTTCTTACTTCTTTAATTTGTAAGCTAATCTGTATGGTCATATGTATGACTCTTATAAACTATATTAAAACATACAAATAAATGTTTTAAAATGTGTTTTTCTTTCCATAGAATAATTACATCAAGACCTCAAAATATACCATCCTGACCTTTCTACCAAGGAATTTATTTGAACAGTTCCAACGATTAGCTAATTTCTACTTCTTATGCTTATTGATATTGCAAGTAAGCTCTTTATGTCTTGACTGTTTTTAACACCCACAAGCAGATCATTATTTAAAAAAAAAGTAAAATTTAATTTGGCACTACTTGTGAATAATAGAGTTCTAAAAGATTTGAGATAAGCCTCATTTTAGTTTCCATTTCATATCAATATAGTTCAGATTACTTTCATAATAAGACTAGATGCACATAGCTTTCAGTTGATATAAAAATAAAGTTCAATATTATATAAAAAGGAGAATTTAAGCTAAGCTTCACCATATAATTGTTATTCATTTCATTTTTATATTAAGCATAAAGAAACATAAAAATAGATAAAATAGATTTGTTTGCATATCACTTTTGTATTTTATTGTGATTCTACTTTATTTCATTCACTGTATACCTGTTGAGTGATATAGCTTATATTTTACGTTAGTTTATAATTCAGTTGGTGATAGTGGTTTTTTTTTTATATTAAATTGCTAGAAATTTTAATATTTTTATAGAATATAACTCAATTTTGTCTATAGATGGCAGCAGCAGTTACTTGATATATATGTAAATAGAGTAAAGCTGTTTGTTTGAATTTTCATTCTTCACACTTTAATTAAACCGATTGTCAAATAGCAGGCTTTTATGGATTTAGGGGTGGTTTGGTTGACAGAGTATTCAGATATTTTTTGAAAAATGAAATAAAATTTCACTTTATTTGCATAAATTGCAACAAATAATGAACATTAACACAACAGTACTTGAGTGATAAGCTAAAATATCACATCTTCTGTAGTATTCAAAACAAGTAAACTCCAGAAAAGCACTCACACTCATCAATTAGCTGTTAGATTTAATTAATTTATTAATAAATGGTGTTAAGCCTTTCTTATTTAATAACTTTCTGGCATTTGAAAAATTAAACTTACATGATTAACTTTACAAAACTCTTATCTAATTTTTAAATTAAACTAAACTGCTAATGCTCAAGAAACATTTCTGAAAGTCCCTTTCACTTCTTCATAAATTATTTTTATGAACTTTTTGAAAATTATTCTGAAGGTAACTTTTAGCTGAGAACTTGTTACAAAAGTTACAGTCTTGTTTTATTGCTTGAATATGACTGTTCGAGCAAAACCTGTTTAAAAACAGTAACTGTTGGTCAAAATGTGTAAAATAGGAAAATAAATCTTAGCAGGTGATTTCACTACATATGAGTATAATACTTATATTCTTTTTCAGTTTTAACTGTCAGATGAACAGCAGCATTAATTGTGTTTCAGTCAAACCTAAACCTTTTTCATGAATATCAACGGAATACTATGTATTAAAGAATATTATGAGTAACAGGTACTTTTTCATAATGAAGAGGTTTTATTCATTTCACGGATGCAGCTGCTTTATATTTCAGGTTTATAATATTGATATATAGATAACTCATTTAATTTTTTTAAAAATACAATACTTTTTTAAGATTGTTGTAAGAATATTTATGTGTTTTAAAAGGTTACATTGTCTTTTTTTTAATACTGAAATAAAACTTTTTTCTTTTTCACAGTTAATTCCACAGATATCTTCCTTAACACCAATTACCACTGCAGTGCCTTTAGCTGTTGTGCTTACTATTACTGCACTTAAGGATGCCATTGATGATATTGTGAGCATTCTGTTTGATAAATATTATTTTTTTGACTCTTTTTTTTTTACTAATAATTAAGTATTTGATTTTTTTTTACTTTTTATATGACACGTGGTGTTCTCATCTAAATATAGACAAGGTAATATCTGAAACTTAGTTTTTCTTTATGTTTGCTCTACATCGGACAGTTTTTACTTCCAAGTGTGACCCACTGACAGAAAAAGGTTAAAGATTCTATTAAGATACTCTCTAATTGTCTTATGCTACTTATAACTTTTTTAAACCTTTCTCAAGTAATTTGAAAGAGAAGTTTTATAATCTGTGAATAATTTGACAAAAATTAACAGAACTGTATATGTCTTCCAACTTCTATTTATTATAACTGAACAATAAAAATCACTTTAAAATAAGAAAAATATAATTACTTTATATTTGTTATAGAGAATTATTCATAGGAAAACAAATTTAATTTTAGCAACGACTTCGTAGTGACAATCAAGTAAATAATCGAAGTTCTCACGTGCTACGCAATGGAAAACTTGTAGATGAACGATGGCACAAGGTACAAGTTGGAGACATAATAAGAATGGAGAATGATCAGTTTGTTGCAGTATGTATAAAAATATATCAATATGTTCTAAAATCTACTCATACCTAGTAACTAAAGATTTGGGCTTTTTTTTTTATAACTATCTTTTGTGGACCAGGTAACTATTTAAGCTATTACAGTAAAGTGAGAGAGATTTGATTCTTTTCTAAAATATTTCTTAAAGGAATGAAAAAAATATTGTTTTGTTACAAGTAAAGGAGGAAAATTTCATATTTCTTTTTATAGAATTTTGAAGTAAGTAATATTTAACAAAAATGAAGAATTAATAATTATTATTGTATTGTCAAGGCTGCTTCTCAAAGATATCTTTACTATTGGTGTTACTCTTTACTGTCTTTTTGTATTTTCACATAAATGTATGTTAACTTTGAAATTTAATTCTCTGAATTGCAAGGTGTTTAGAACATTACATATTTTTTGCAGGCTGATTTATTGCTGTTATCCACTAGTGAACCCAATGGACTTTGTTACATAGAAACTGCAGAACTTGATGGGTAACGTAATGCTTTACCATTTTAAATAAGCACTGTTTTGTTTATTCAGCTCATGAATTCAGACATAATGAATCTTGAAAAAAAATGAAAAGATTTTGTTTTTTAAATTTATTGTGTTTATAAGAACTTTCAACTACAGGGCATTAAGGAGAAAGTTATTTAGTTTAATTTTTTTCATCTTGGAGATTCTGCACTGTTAGTATTATGATGTAATTATTTTAAAATCATGAGGTTGTGTTGTAGCAATGCTAGCTACATAATCAGTTCAGAATTTATTATAAAAAATATTTGTATTTTTATAGTTTATCATCAAGAGTATCAGTAAATACAGTTTTGTTAATTTGTTATAAGAATTGATTGGTCATATATTGTCATTTATAATTGGAATACTTTTTTCTCACAGTGTGTATTCAATTTTGATAATTTTTATCTTTAGGGAAACAAACTTGAAATGTAAGCAAGCCCTACCAGAGACTGCTGAATTAATGGAAGACAACGTAAAGATAGGAGAGTTTAATGGTATTTATAAAAACATACAGCATATTTATTTAAAATTTAAGTAACGTGATTGCTTAAAAATCTTTCTATAAATTTATAAAATAAATATATTTTAAGATTTTTTATGTTTATGATTATTTTAGGATGTAATTTTGAGTTTGTTGTAAAAATATAGCAAAATAAAACATTTTATAGACAAGTTATTAAATATGTTGGAAATGTTTAAAAGATAAGTTATAAAAGATGATGTACATGTAATGTTCCCCAAGAAAATTTGTGTAATATCATGTAATTGTTTCAGATTGTTGACTTACCTTTTATGTTAACAATGGATGGCTAAAAGTTTCTGTTGTACAAATATATTTAGCAGATTTTTATATGCAAAATAATAATAATTATTATTTTTCAAGGATTGATAAAAAAAATCTAAGAAAATGGAATATTTAAATTTATTATTTAAAGATAAACCAGTAATTAAGTAATTTATTAATATTTTTAATTACCTAATTAAGTATTTCATATATAGATTTTTTCAAAATTTTTTTTGTTCATCCTTTTTTATTGATAAGCCTCATTTATAATTGTTGGCTTAATTACCCTCATCTCAGAGTGAGGGCGAGGGTATTGCATTCAGGTTCATGTATGTCTGTCTGTGATTCTGCATGCATATCTCAAAAACAATATATATATATACACAATATACATGAAAAGTTTACACAAGAAGAGAGACAGGGCATTTTCTCGGGTTTTTAGTTAATAACTCTGTAAAGTGTGATCGGATTTGTACCAAATTTCATGGACACATTAAGGTTGAGACTCCTCACCACACTACATAAAATTATCTGGATTGTTGATCATTCTGGATCTGAGAAGGATTTTCTGAAGTTTCGCATATCACAT